CTATTGGAATAGCTCTGCAGGTGGTGACTTCCTGAAGCATGCAATCGGGAATGGACTGACATGGCCATGGTATCTCACGTGTGTACCTTAGAGAAGAATACCAAGTTTTTTACTTCTGTACTTACTAGAAGGGAGAGGTTTTTCTAGAATTTTAAGACTGTCATGCAAAGGTCTTTGAACTGTAAAAAAGCATCCAAAAGGTATGTCTTTAATAGTTGGCAATAAAAAAACAAGTTTCACAACTGGGTGGATGTTTCATTATATAGACAAGACTATTGCTTGAGTTCATTAGAATTAAAATGTTGCAAAAAAATACTTCTGTAGGCAGAGTGTGGCTGCAAGTTCTTTATAATGTATGCTATGGATATAGATAAAATGAAAGAAAACACAGCTAGCAGTCATGCATATAATCAAGAGTTGTACTTCTGTCTGTAGCATGTAAGGCTTAAGGTAGAAACAAGATTCCTTATGTTAGTTCCAAGACTTACTTCCTTAGCTCTGAAAACCAGCATAGTCTGTGCACCAGTGTTAGAGGACAGTGGCCTCCGAAGTGTGAGTCTGCCTTATTTGAACAAAATGACACCACACAGGCCTTCTAAAAACCACTTCTCATTTGAATATAGATTGAACATGTGCGCAGTTGTGGGCCTCTTTACATATTTAACATTGTTTAGCATTTAGGAATGCTTTTTGTGGTCTCTGAAATTAGCATTTACATAGACAATTGCAAGCAGTGAATTTGGGAGGGTTGCCTGGACTGTAGTCACCTGGCACTTTATCTGATAAAGGATGAGTGGATGTTACTAGGATGAAGAATCTTCTATAGGGGTTTTGAACAAGAGATGGTTGTGAATTGAATAACATTAAAAAGATTATTTTGGCTCTTTCAGTAGGAAAGTAGTTCAACTTGGAAAAGTATCTATAATTAGACAAAGAATGTGGTGAGGGATAGTAACAAGGACATATTTGTCATATATTATGAAAAGTTACCACAGGATATATTTATATTGAAAAAGTAACCTTAGAGGCATGGAGTTAAAAATGGTTTCCCTTATTTGCAATAGCTAGTATATGTCTGAGACGAGTGGAAAAGGTCTGATAAGATGATGTTAGGCAAAATGAACCCCAAGATAAGGACAGAAGTGTTTTTTCTTTCTTGCTATTGTTTCTAACATATTGATAAGGTGATTGTTTTATTGCTTTGTATGTCCCTCCCCTGTAGAACTCCTGTTTTCACTGTATTTGATGTTGGTATAATTTGGGGAGGGGAAGGGGAAAAATTGTTTAAATAGGGAGACAGGTGGACCCAACAATGAGATGTACAAAACGCTATGATGAAAAATGAACTTTACAACTTTGGGAGGGGGAGTGTAGTTTTGGAATGGTAGGGCAGGCATGGTAGGGGAAAAACAAAGGAGGAGGCAACAATGCTTGAGAAGAAATGTACTCATTACTTTGCTCACGT